GACGTGCTGGAGCTGGTGGTGCTGCTTGATGATGTGCTCGTGCTGCTGCTAGTCGTGCTGGAAGTCGAGGACGTCGTGCTGCTGGTGCTGCTGGTGGATGTAGTAGTGGATGATGTTGAGGTCGAGGATGTCGAACTCGATGATGTGGTGCTCGAGGATGTAGATGTGGACGACGAGGTCGTCGACGANNGACGAAGTGGACGTGGAAGAGCTTGTGGTGGACGAAGTTGATGTGCTGGAGCTGGTGGTGCTGCTAGATGATGTGCTCGTGCTACTGCTTGTCGTGCTTGAGGTCGATGATGTGGTGCTGCTGGTGCTGCTGGTGGATGTGGAAGATGTTGACGTTGAAGTTGAGGATGTCGAACTCGATGATGTAGTGCTCGAGGACGTCGATGTTGAAGATGATGTGCTTGACGAGGTTGAAGTTGTGGAAGAGGTTGTGGTGGAAGAAGAAGTGGAGGTGGTAGATGATGATGACGTAGACGACGATGAGCTCGTGCTAGTGGTCGAGCTGCTGCTGGACGATGTAGATGACGAGCTTGTGCTGGAAGACGTCGAAGTCGTGGTAGAGCTCGACGACGTACTTGTTGAGGTCGATGTGCTCGACGATGTACTGGTGCTAGTTGTTGAACTGCTAGACGTACTAGTGCTGGACGTGCTGGTTGAAGAGGTCGTTGTGCTCGTGCTGGTTGTAGTAGACGAAGATGTGGAGGAAGTTGTTGAAGAGGATGTGCTGCTCGACGTGGACGATGTCGTGCTGCTGCTTGTGGACGACGACGTTGTGGAAGAGCTGCTTGTAGAAGTTGACGTCGACGAGGTCGAGCTAGTTGTGGTCGATGTTGTCGATGTAGACGTGGTGCTGGAGGAAGTTGTCGTGCTGCTGGATGAAGAAGTCGAAGAAGAAGATGTGCTTGTCGAGGATGTACTGGAACTCGTTGAAGATGTTGAAGAGGTGGATGTGGTTGAAGATGTGGACGATGTTGAAGACGTGCTTGATGTTGTGCTGGAAGTGCTGCTAGA